TCTCTCTCTCTCTCTCTCTCTCTCTCTCTCTCTCTCTCTCTCTCTCTCTCTCTCTCTCTCTCTCTCTCTCTCTCTCTCCCTCTTCTTCTCTCTCTCTTTCTCTCTCACCCACACACACTTTCTCACTCTCTCTTTTTTTTAAACCTCTCTCGCCCTTTGTCTATTTCCCTCGTTCTCTCTCCCTCCTTGCCTTCCCTCCCTCACGGCCTCCTCCCCCCTCCAGGTGGTCGCGCCCCCCGACGAGGAGGAGGGCGTGATCGAGGGCGCCTGCAGGGACGCCGCCTACGTGGCGATGCGAACCGTCGTGATCAAGACGTCGACCAACCACACCGTGTTCCTCCCTCATCCCGGGCTGGTCGACGTCGCTGACCTGAAGCCCGGCGACCTGGTGGCGGTGCTCAGGGACCTCTTCATCATCATCGAGGTCCTGCCGCGGCCGTTCGACCCGAGAGTCAGCCGCATGGAGGTCACGGAGAGGCCGGCGCAGAGGTTCTCCGACATAGGGGGTCTCGAAAGCCAGATCGAGGAGTTGAAGGAGGCGGTCATCCTGCCCATCAAGCAGCGGGAGCGCTTCAAGAAGATCGGTGAGTTTGTTTATTTGTTTATTTGTTCGTCCTCCCGTAATGATGACTGTAATATTGACGTCAGTGATAATGATGGGAATTACGACAGTACCGATTGCATTTCAGTATTTGTATCCATCCGCACTTATATCACGAGTCAAAATGCGTGAAATATTAAAAGAAACCGCACTTTCAGGCATCCGTCCCACCAAGGGCGTGTTGCTGCATGGTTCCCCGGGGACAGGGAAGACCATGATAGCCCGGGCGTGCGCAGGCGAGACCGACAGCACCTTCATCAGGCTGGCGGGCCCTCAGGTGGTGGAGATGTTCCTCGGCGACGGAGCCAAGATGGTCACCGACGCGTTCGCTCTGGCCAGGGAAAAGGCGCCCTCAATTATTTTCATCGATGAGCTGGACGCTATCGGTGAGTCGCTGTCGGTGGTCGAGTTGTAGCTTGGGATATTTCGCTGCTTTTGAATTTTCTCTCTTTTTTCTCTTCTTTCTCTCTTTCTCTTTCTCTTCTCTCTTTCTCTTCTTTCTCCTCTCTCTCTCTTCTCTCTCTCTCTCTCTCTCTCTCTCTCTCTCTCTCTCTCTCTCTCTCTCTCCTCTCTCTCTCTCTCTCTCTCTCTCTCTCTCTCTCTCTCCCTCTCTCTCTCCTCTTTCCTCTCCTCTTCTTTCTTCCCCTCTCTCCCCTCCCTCCTCTCCCTCTTCCCTCCCTCTCCTCTCCTCCCTCCCTCCCTCCTCTCCTCCCTCCCTCTCCCTCTCTTCCCACGTCTCGTCCTCCTCCCTCAGGCACGAAGCGGTTTTCCAGCGACAAGACCGGGGACCGCGAAGTGCAGCGGACGATGCTGACTCTCCTCAACGAGATGGACGGCTTCGCGGCGAACGAGACGGTCATGGTGAGGGGAGGCGGCGGGTGTCTCTCTCTTCCTCGGGTGGGGGACGTTTCGTGGGGGTTTTGTGTTGTTTGGGGTTTTTGTTTTTTTTATGTCGAGAGTGTGATTGTTTTTTTTTTTTTTTTTTTTTTTTGGGGGGGGGTATTTTTATGTCGAGAATGTGATGTTTGTTTGTTTGTTTTTGTTTTTGTTTTTTTCATGTCGAGAATGTCTTTTGTTCTGGGGGGATTTTATTTTCATGTCGAGAGTGTGATGTTTGTTTGTTTTTGTTTTTTCTCTTTCTTTTGGGGGGATTTTGTTTTCATGTCAAGATGTGATGTTTTTTCTTTTCTTTCTTTCTTTCTTTTGGGGTTTTTATTTTCATGTCGATGACGTGGTTTATTTACTTTCTGTTTTTTGTTATATTTTTTCTTTTTGTTTAAGAAGTTTTTTTTTCGTATTATTTGTTGTTTTGTCTTGGAAAGGGAAGTAATTTTTTTGTGTTTGTTTAGCTATTTTGCCTGATTAGGAAGTAAGTTATCATATCATCCTCATTGCTATTATTTATTAATAATGACTATCATTATTGTCAGTACTAATTAAGCATGTGATTTATTGTTATCATCAAAATAAATCCATTACATTATATTCATTTGCTATTATTTCTGTCATTATCATATTATTTAACTTAACATCCCCTCACGACACCATCTCTCACCCTCACTAGCTCCTCACCACCACTCTTCACCACCACCTTCCAGCACCACCATCACCGCCACTTCACAACTTACCACACCACACCATCTCACCACCCTCACCACCCTATTTCTCCCCCTGGTGAGGTGGCAGGTCCCCGATGCCACCCTCACACCACAGCCACCACTACCACACCACCAGCCAGCCCTCTTCACAACTTCACCACGTCATCTCACCACCACTTCACCGCCACCTTACCACCCACTCATCAAGCACCACCACACAGCTTCTCCCTCACAGGGCCTCGCCACCACCAACATGCTCAACATCACCACCACTTCACCAACCACTTCCTCGCCATCTTAACCGTCACCACCAATCACACCACTGAACCACTTCACCATCAGCTTACCACTTCTCTCTTCGCCCTCCCTCTCCTTCTCCCGCTCGCCGCCACCACCTCCTCATCACCACTTCACTACCACTTTCAACGATCACCACTCATCCATCACTTCACTACACCACCTTATCACCATCACCACCATATCACCATCTTTTCACCCCCTCCCACCGCAGTTCCTCACGCACATCACCTCACCACTTTCAACACCAGGACCCACCTTCCACCACCATTTTCTCACCCTCCACTTCAGGTCCTCGCCACCTCACCACCACACCACTTTACCATACCTACCACAATCACCATGCCCTCCTCCCCCCCACCCTCCCCCGCAGGTCCTCGCTTCCACCACCACGCATTACCAACACTTTCCGCCTCCACCTCCATCAACAACCACTTTAACACGGCTTCACCTCTGCCTTTTTCTCACCCTTCCTCTCTCCTCAAGTCCTCACCTCATTCATAACTCACTACTACTTCGCCACCACTTCAACACCATCTTACACCCACCAGCCATTCTCGTCGCCCCTTCCCCTCCCCTCCACGTATGTACTCTGCCGCCACCTCCATCCTCCGACCACCATCACCATTCCTCACCTCCTCCGCCCGCATTTACCTCACTTCCTGCCCTAACCACACCGCAACTTTAAACACCATCTTACCGACACCCATTTTTCTGCTCCTGCCTGCCCTTCTCCCGCCGCATTGTCCACCACCGCACTTCTTCACAACTTCAAGCACGCCATCTTACCCAGCGATTCTCTCTCATTCCCATCCCACCCGCATGGTACTCAGCTCTCCTCACCACCACTCAACAGCCGACCTCCTCCACCTACGTTCCCACCCTCCTCAACACCACGGGTTCTCACACCCCCTCACCACCACCTCACATGTCCACCTCTCACCCTCCTCGGCCACACCTCAACTACCATCTCCTCACCCTTGCACACGCGCCACGGTCAACACCACGTCTTCCGCCCACTCCCCACCCTCCTGCAATTATTCACCTCCTCGACCGAACTACTTCAACACCATCTCCTCACCACCCTCCCTCGCCACCTCATCACTCCCCTCCCCGCCCGCAGATTCCTGCCGATCCACCTCAACACCCAACTCGCTCCTCTTCACCCCCTCCGGCCACCCTTCAGCCCCTCCCCGCCCGCAGCAATCCTCGCCGCCACCTCAACACCACGACCTGTCCTCACGCCCCTCCCTCGCCACCGCGCTCTCGACCCCCTCCCCCGCCTCAGATCTCAGCCGCACCCAACATCGCGCCGACAATCCTGGAGCCCGTGCGCTCTTTCGCTTCCGGCAGATTCGAACAAGAGATCGAGATTCCCTCCCTTGCGGCAGGGGGCGCTGGAGATCCTTAGATCCACAGTCCGCAGATGAACAGCCGGGACGTCGACCTTAGGGAAATCGCGCGCTCGCCGGGGACTTCAACGGCGCGCAGTGCAGGGCGGTGTTGCGTGGAGGCGGTGAGTAGGGGGGGGGGGGGGGGTTGTTTGTTGTGATGTCTGGGTGGTGATGTCAGCGGTTGTGTCAGTGCAGGGTGGTCTGTGTGGAGGTGGTGAGTAGGGGGGAGAGGGGTAGGGGGGTTGTAGATGTGTTGTTGTGTTGTTGATGTTTGGGGTGGTGATGTCAGTGCTGCGCAGAGAAGGGCGGTCTGTATGGAGGTGGTGAGTAGGGGGGGGGGGGGCTAGGAGGGGAAGGGTGTTGTATATGTGTGTTGTTGTGTTGTGATGTCTGGGTTGTGTCATTATTGCTATTATCATCATAATCATCATCGTTATCATTATAAATTTTGTTATCATTATGATTTGTATTGTCGTTATTACTGTTATTTTTACGATTATTATTATTTTATTATCTTAGTTGTTATCATTATTGTTTTTTATTATCATTATTCTTGTTTTACTCTCACCATCATTAATTATCATCATTATTATCATTAGTATTACCATTATTGTTATCGTTATTATCTTCGTTGTTATCATTATTGTCACCATAATTATCGCCATCATCATCATCATTATCATCATCATCATTATCAATATCAATTATTCATCACCATTTATTTCTGTTAAAAGTATCATTACTACAGTGATTCTACCAATAACAATTAAAATGCCAAAGATTCAGTGATTTTGCTATCTCATGTTTTTTTTTCTGTATTTTTCTCGAATTTTGTGTGATTATTTCTTAACTTTAGAACAGGTGGAATAACGCAAAAAAAATGTTTGAAAGCAAAACGTTTCGTGGAACACATTAGATTAATGCATGTAGCGACGGGGTTCCGCCGAAACCTCGTGAGTAGGAAGCCATAAATAAGGAGCTGCTTTTGTTTTCGGATATATGTAGATGCATACATATATATTCATACATACATACATACATACATGTATACACACACGCACGCACACACACACACACACGCACACACACACACACACACACACACACACACACACACACACACACACACACACACACACACACACACACACACACACACACAAACAACACACACAACACACACACACACACACACACACACACACATACACACACACACACACACACACACACAACAACGCACACACACCACATATTATATATGGTGCGTGTGTGTATATTTGAATACATATATATGTTGGCATGGTTGGTTTGCTGTGTAGAAGGAAGAGGTGGAAAAGATACAGAATACTTGATCTTGATATTGCTTTCAACAAAACACATGTAAGCCAATAGTTCAGTAAGCAAATAGTTTGTCTATTTTTAGGATTCTATGAGTAACACTATTTGAATGGAAATAAGATAGAAAGAATAGAAAGATAGAAAGAATTAGATAGTTGGAAGTGAAATTAAAGGGGAGTGACTTCTTCAAGACAGAATGGTTCGACTTTTTTGTTCCTTATTCTCGTTTCTATCTCGGTTCTGTAATGTCAGATTTGTTTGTTTTGTTTTCTATTTCCTTATTTATCCATGTATATCTTCATTCATTTGTTTATTTATTTATTGGTATTTTGTAATTTCCACTTCTGTGTTGCATCTCCAGTGGTGTTATAATATTTCTACATATATTAATGCTGTTTACCGTTTACACTACACATATGAATATTACACTAACGAACTACTGTTATTTATGATCCTGCGTTTGAGGTTATGATTAAATTTGCATTGTGCGTGTTTGCAATGGTTATTTATGCAATTAGGTTAAAGTCTGCATACTCAGTAACTCTCTCTTTCTGTCTTTGCAATAATTTGTTATTTTTGTCATTGTCATTGTTATTGTTGTTGTATTGTCATTTTTTGGGGTATTATTTTGTGTTGCTTATAATTTTTATGATTATGTTGTTCATGTTATTATTCTTTTTTAATGCCATGTGTAATTAATCTTAGCATTACTACTACATTTAATGACATTGAGGCAATTATTATTAATTATTAATTATTATAACATTAATGATACTGTTATCATCCTCGTAGTCTCATCTTATCTTTATCACTCTTAGCATCATATTTGTGCTGCCCTGTTTATTGTTGACGTTGCAATCATCTTCATCATCTCATCCGGAGTCAACAATCATCATCATAGTATCATCACTGCCATATCATCATCATTATCTCTTTCTTAGAGATAATGATGATAAAGAACTTGATATGAAAGACATATCATCATTCTTACTACGTGCATCATCATCATTATTCATTATCACTTCCTTATCACCATCACTATCCCACCACCATTATCAATCATTATTTATTTATCTCCATTTATCTCCAGCATCATGATCATTCGTAGCCTTCATGACCCATCCCAAACATCATCATCACCATTGCCAGTCACGTCATCATTCACCACATCAATCACCATCATCCATCATCTCCACCATCACCACTGCCTTTCCACTCCACCATCATCCCTTCTCAGTATTATCATCACCAACATCACCACCTGCTTTGAATGACCTTCCCCCCTCTCTCTCTCCCCCCTCCCCTCCCCAGGGTATGACCGCCTTACGTCGCAACGCCTCGACGGTGACCCACGAGGACTTCCTGGCCGGCGTCGTCGAGGTCAGCGCTCGCAAGAAGACCGGCATGAGTTACGTCATTTGAAGAAAAAAAAACATTTTCGGAATGGCTGGGGTAAAAAAAAAAAAAAAACGTTTTGGGAATGGTTGGAAAATGTTTTATAGGAATGGTTGGGAAATGTGATTAGGAACGGGTGGGAAACGTTTTTAGGAACCGTTAAAAAAACGTTTTTTTTTTTTTTTTAGGAACGGTTAAAAAACGTTTTATTGGCGAAAAATCGTTTTACAAACTGCCGAAGGAAATTAGCTTTGATATGTGAGGATTTTTTTCTTTTCTGATTCTTATGCAACCCTCTATTTAATTGCTGTTTTCTATGGCGATGTTTTTTTGTTTTAAGCTTGAGTTTTTTTTTAATGCATGAGTGGTATTTATTTGTTGTAAAGAAAAGAAATTTTATCATTGGTATTACTGGGTATGTCGGCTTCAGGAATTTCCTGATGCATGAACTGATATCAATTCTTTCCTATTTTTATGTGTATTCCATTTATCTTTTATAATGACACAGCTATTTATTGATTTAACTTTCTTGTCAGTTTATTGTTTGGAAATAATAGGTTCCGATGTTGATCTGATTGCAATCTCGCGAAGGAAAAGATCCTGATGTTGTTATGTTCCTTTTAGGATTATCATGGGATTAAGCTGATTTACAGATTTATGGATAAATCCCTGATTTTTTTCTTCTTCTTTTTTTCTTAATGTTGATTGACGAGACCGGATGTTTGGTTAACGACTGACTGGGTTGTTTGGGTTTTCATTTTGATGTTTTTCTTTCCTTTCTTTAATTTCTCTCTCTGTTTGACTTCTCTCTCTCTCTCTCTCTTCTCTCTCTCTCTCTCTCTCTCTCTCTCTCTCTCTCTCTCTCTCTCTCTCT